CAGTACTGCCCCTTCTTACTGCACGGCGGGTGTGGAGGATGTCCCCCCGGTTGCCTCTAGTTTTTGGAACTCGTCTTCTTCCCCGGTGATCAGGGACTTGATGGCCCTGATTTTCGCCATTTCTTGCTCGGCGGTGAGTGGAATAAGCCTGATCGGCGGTAAGTCTGGATCCGGTTCTGGGGTTGGCGCACACAGAAAATCGGTAACTCGGCTCTTGCGCGGCGCGGTGTAGTGGTAGGTCTATTCGAAGCCGAGTAATTTCACAGCCTCCCTCTCCTCGGTAGGATGGCGTAGCAGGGCTCTGATGGCCTCTTGGTTGGCCTGGTGGTAGTCTGCTGCTAGATGCTTATCTGCAAAAAGAAGACGAGTGTTAGATCGGCACGGAAGGTAATTGATGCATAAAGAAAATAGCGCGGTCAGCCAAGCAACTCACCGGCACTGCCAAAATCCTTTCTAATATACCATCCCGGTATGGGTGCCTCGGTGTCCTCATAGCGATCGGACACCCACAAGAAGTCGTCGTCGTTGGTCTCCTTGTCCGGGTTACCCTTTATTAATTTTGCTCGGCCCTTCTTCACTTTGAGGTACCAGCAAAACCCGCTCTTATTTCTACTAAGACTATACTGATGGAAAATTTCAGCCAGACCGAGATTGAGACCAAGCCTCCAGTTCAGTTCGGTGACCCCGTTTATTATTTTGTAAGTGTTATTTGAAACTTGGGTCGGGCAAAGCCTTGTCTGCCTCAAAAACTCGCAGATCAAAGGCTGGACCGGGAAGCGGAGCCCTCCCTCTACTATTGACACGACCGCAAAGGGGCACCGGTCTAGATCTCCCCAAGAGGTGTCTCCCTTTTTGGCGAGCTCTAAGACGACGTCACCTGGGATGTTGTAATCCCTGCGAAACTCGGCCATCGCACCGGGCGAGCTAACCATATAGCGGTACTTCCCCATCTATCTCGGTTTTATTTGATATAGTGTATATCTCGGTCAAAAACGTTGGTGGGTCTGCTCGGACTTTAAGCTCCACCAATTAGTGCTGGACTGGCTTGGCCGGTCCTATTTGTTCTGCATGTTAAAAAATAATTCCAAGGGTTAGCACGGCATAAATTGCGCGGCCCCTATGGGAATTGGCTCAGTGAAGGGATTATTGGTGTTTGGCCGGTTCGATCCCTACCTCGGCTATGCTACTTGGTCGATTTCCTAGTTCAGTTCTAACTCTCCACTTCTGGCTCGGGTAAGGTCCAGAAAAGAGATTCAGAGAAGTTACAGCTCGGTTAAGGTTTGAAGTGGAGATCTCATGTTTTAGCTCGGCGAGTTCCTACATACCGATCTAACTAAGTGTCTAGCTCAGTTGAGACCTCAACAATAAGCCACAAACCATTTTTGATCGGTTGAAGGCATAATTACGGATCTAAATGAGCATTTAGCTCGGTCGTGCACAATGTTCATCCTGTTCATCTTGTTCATCCTAAGTTCAAGGTTCGTTTGTTCGAATCAAGGAGAAACGGGGGCACGATGGCCCCATATACCCATCCAGTTACAGTTTGCCCTATGATGTGCCAAGACCCCCCCATCAAGGAGATATTGGAAGGTTCTAAGCAAAGAAAATAAAGAACGAAAACACAAAAAATTGAAGGGCCTATAGGAAAAAGTAGTAAAGGGGTAAAAAACTCACCAAGAACGGATGCGAAGTGAAGCAGTCCCCGCGAGCTTGAACGCAGCTTCAGGAGTAACAGAAACGGTGAGTGAAATGAGAGGCAGCAGCGACGGTGGTGAAGGAAATGGAGTTTATGAGGTTAGGGTTTAGGCTCAAAGGAGAGATGAACAGTAAGAGTCGAATTGACCCTTCGTTTGTGCATAAAAAGGAGGGGAAAACCCAAACGGCTGCGCCGTTTGAATTCTGTGAACTGTTAGGTTATTATTCTTGGTAATCTCATTTGACAAAATTCCTTTCAGCTGTAATTTTGTTCATCTTTTATTTCAATGAGGTTATGAGTTTTTAGATGCGAATACAACCCCAATTATGCCTTGCAGAGATGTTTCAGAAGTTAATTCTTTCATGTTTGCCGCTTCGCTGACTATGTCGGGGATCGAGTTGCCCGGTCAGCTTGCAAGAGTCCAGGGGACAGCGCCCCTTGGCGAGTCGGAGGCAGCACCATGGCGGGGTCGAGGGGCAACGCGCCCGAAGCAAAAGGCAAAATTGCAATCGAAGTTGGTTTTCCGCTCGAGCGGCCATTCCTGTGCTCGAGCGGATATGCAATCTGTTCAGAAGTTTCACTCGCCTACAAAAGTACTGAGAGTTGTTTTTTCCCGCTCAAGCAGCCATTCTTGTGCTCGAGCGGAGATCGTGGATCTGATTTCTATAAATATGTGTTTCAGTTCGATTTTAGGGTACGGTTTCCAGATCTTGTTCTTGGGTATTAGGATTTTTATCTAGAGTTTCTTTACTTGTTTTCCTTTGATATCTGTGAGAGTTTAATTATGAATTAAGTGGATTATATCAAAAAGTTTATTTTATTTTGTCTTATTTACAAAAGATAGAGTAGTTCTTCGGTGGATTTCGTGAAATTTGGGTTTGAAGCTTTAATGGATTCTGGAGTGGCTCATCATCGTGGATTCGACATCGGCGTTGTGGATTCAACGTTGGGCAAGACGATTCCGAGGTGAAGACGGGCTGGAAAAGGCACATAGGGGTCGGTTCGATTCGGGCGTGGATTCACTAGGTAGTTGAGAGTACACTTATGTAATTCCTTTATGTCTTCTTAGTGGATTGTTTATGGCTTTTGCCCGTGGTTTTTTTTATCACAATTGGAGGCACTTCAATTGTTGTTTTTTCACGTAAAATCGTTGTGCCGATTTATCTTGATTGTTTGATTGGGATTGCTATTTATTGTTTAAAATTGGTACATAATCACAAATTAATATCTAGGGAATTTTTAGATTTTTCAGGAACTATCAATCATTTTTAAAAGTTCAAATATTTAAGCCCCAATCAAATACTCTTAAACTCTTATAGAGTTTTGTTCTAGGAGGTTTCATATATATCCACGAACACATATCTAACCCTAGTTTTAAATTCAAAACTTTTTATTGTTTAAAATCTCTACATTTTTACAGAAAAGATGTGTTCTTGAAGTATTTGCACTAAGTTGTTTTGACTTTTGAGATTGGTCGAGGTTAAATCAAAGAATATAATTCTAGGTAGTTAACATAGATTCTAAAAATTGAGTTCTTGTGGTTTTATTTTAATTAGAAATTAGTTAAAGAACTTGTCTAAATATTAGGGTTTTGGGGATTCTGTGATAGAGAACAATGAGTTTAGAGGTTTAGGAATTTCAACTCGGAGAACTCAATTCATACGTGAATCAATATCTCTAATCATCTAGTGCATATATTTTCATTAATTATTGTGTTTTTGTTATCCGCAAAAGTATGAAACATTATATGATTTGATTTATTAATTATCAAAAAAAAAATTGATTGCAAATGTTAGAAACATTGAATGATTGTCAAGCAAAAAACTAAAATTAAAATATATAAAATTGTTTTGATTGTGAATGTTATGAATAAAAATTATAGTATAAAAAAATAAAATTACAATGTAAAAAGTTATTAAAGGTCTCAACTAGATTTTTTGCCTTGGATTAAATAGGTTTGAGTAGCCTCTGAATACAATAGACATATTTCATATCAATACAACTCGGGTGATTATTCAGTATTTTCGGAATATGAACATGTGATGCTCCATAAGGTTTTGATTGGTAGAAAGGGGTAGAAGTTCACGATTTATGTTAAGGATGAGGGAACAACATGGGACTAAGTAATTGGTAATTGACTTAAAGTATAACCACGTGATGTTCCGAGATTATTTAATAATTTCTCATACAACTCTCTGTCATAATGTACTCGTAATTCTATGTTGGGGGTTCAAGGTTAGAAAAAGTGATTAGAGAGGCAAACTTATGTTAATGGTCCAATAATGTCGGAAGTGGCTGGAGAATGAGTAGCAATAACTATCTGGGAATTGAAGAGAGTATAGCTAGGTGAAGATGAAGCAAAATGGCTCAAAGAGAAGTGTGTGGCAATACCAAATTGGGCAGTATCTCCCTTAAATCTCCAAAATTCCTCTCTTTGAACCTTGGGAAATGGGTCCTATTTATAGGCTTTTCCTTGGTACCAAGAAAACACCAAGTGGCCAAATAGAGAGAAGACATGTGTCCCAGAGGATCACATGAAATATTTTGCCTCGAGCCACCAAACTGAAGGTGCCACGTGTCCCTCTGCATGTACTGTGTACTATCTGTTTGCCTCCGCAACTACCTTTTTTGAAACTTAGCAAGTGTAGTTGCATCGGGAGTGTTTGGCGCGGCAACTCCCTTTTTGGGCCTCAGCAAGTGCAATTGTTGTGAGAGTGTTTCCCTCTGCACTTGTCTTCTCAACTTGAACCTCTGCAAGTGCACTTGCAACGGTGAACCTCGCAGCTGCACTTGCCTTCTCAGTTCTATTTGGTCAATACATGCATTCTCAGGACTCCATTAGTCTGCTATTGACTATGTTCGTGCTCACTTCAGCGAAGCCTCCACCCTTAGCCATCTAACCACAAGCTCTCCAGCTTCCCAGGGCGAAGGCCACAGCCAGGCCTGCTATCAGCCATGTTGTGCTTTAGTACCAAACCTAAGGGAGCTTCCTTAGTCCTGCCTGTGCGACCAAGGCAGGTCCATGACTTGGGTAATGGAAAGGAAATCCCTTATACTCGAGTTGCCCTGCTCCCATCTTCGCGGGGTTGCCGCGGTAAACTGGTATTTTTGGACCTGCTATCAGCTCCAACCAGTAAGTCTTGGGGCTATCAGCGCCTAGTTAAATGAACTATGGGGCCTGCTATCACCCTTAGGCCAGTAATGCTTTGGGGCTTACTGTCAGTGCCAAGTATTAGCCTCTACTTGCAAAGGGAAGCCTCTCTCAAAGGCTGTTATCACCTTGGCAGGATATTCCCTCTGCAACTTAGTTGCTATAGTAGTAGTTGCTGCGGTAGTTATTCCCCGCGACAAGTTCAGACGACATAATCGAAGATATTAGAGATGGCGGCGTCGACAGAATGCCTCCACAACTTGGGCGATGTGAGTATTGCCCCTGCAACTTAGTTGCCTCGGTATTCTCCTTCCCTCGGCAACTCCAGATGGTCGCGACATTAACATTACTTGAGATGGCGGCGGCACCGAAGATACTTGGAATGGCGGCACTGCAACAAAATGCCTCAGCAACTCTGTCGCTGCACATGTTCTCTGGGCAACTTCAAATGGCAGTGGAACCGAAGTTAATAGGAATGGCGGCACTGAGACAAAGTGCCTCAGCAACTTTGTCGCTGCACATGTTCCCTCTGTAACTTCGTCGCTGCAGGTGTTGCCTCTGCAACTTGACTTGGGCATTTCTCATCGCTGAGTCCATTTGAAGCCCTGGTGGGTCAGACCTGCCTCGGCCCACTTGTTGGCCCACTTCCCTTGGGCTTTGGCCCATGCTCCTTTTTTATCCTTGGTCGCCTTCTCAGGCCAATCTTAGTGCTTGGGTCCATATTTAGTTTGAGGCTTAATTTCTGACCCTCTACATTCTATAATGTTGTGAGAATTTTGTGAAAACAAATTTATATATATATATATATTCATTTTGACTAAAAATGCATTTGAACCAAAAAAAAAAAAAGGATTAATTATATTAAAATATTTTGACCCCCTCAATTACAAAAATACATCACTTTTTACCCCCTCTAATTTCATTCAAAATGAGGTATTTATACAATTTTATAATAAAAGAGATCGAAATTACGAATATATAAATGAAGGGATAAAGATCATATATTATTAATAGTTGAGGAAATCTTAGCATAATTAATCTAAAAATTTAAGAATAAAATATCCATGGTATTAACCTTGACTATACCTAGCATAATGAAGTGTAATCAAGTCAGAAAGTAGTGTTAAACTTTCTAATGATGGAAACAAAATACCCCACCCGTAGGGGTGTAAATCTAGCCCGGCTCGACCCACGTCGGGCCTTGCGGGCTCCCGTCAAAATTCGGGCCAGGACGGACTAGCCCATGGGCCAAAAAGTTAAGCCTAGGCCCAGACCCAAGTCTAGGTCCAAACCCCGGGGTATTCAGCCCAGCCCAATGGGCTTGAGCCTAGCCTTGGGCTTGGACGGGCCTAACATTTTCTTCTTTTTTAAAAATTTTTTTACCAAAATTTTATTATTTTATATTAAAAAATACACTGGGTCTTAGGCGGGCCGGGCTTCGGGGCGGGTCTAAGTGGGCCTTAAACGAGGCCGATAGGTTGGACCATGGGGCGGGACGGAGCGGGACGGGCTTTAAAACAATGGCCCAAACCTTAGTCTAGGGGCTCGGGCTAGGCTCGGGCCTAAACGGGCCAGGTCCATCTCAAACTGCGGGCGAAATTTGGACCACCTAGGAGTGGTGGATCATTTTTACACCCTACCCACCTGTGTCATATATGTGTATGTACATGTGCATGTCCTTACTCCTATAAAACAGTGAAATGTCACACTATGCACTAGAATAGAATCTACTTGTTAGGGTTGGCTAGCTAGACTTGGAAGATATATATAACAAGACAAACTGTTTGTTTATAAAGTTTGGCCCATGGTTTTAATGTTCATCCAAAGTCCTCTCGATTGAAAATGACACTAGTTTCCTTCGTTGAAAACCAAATTTTAGTTTTTTTTTTTTTTTTAAATTTATTTTATTATTTTGATTTTTAGTAAATATTTTTTAAATTTTAAGTAATTTTTTTTTTTTTTTTTTAGATACACATTACTTAGATATATCTAAATAATAAAATATTTGTAAAAAAGTATTTTAAAAAATTAATAAATATACAAAAATATAAAAAATATATTGAATTTATTTAGTAATTTTTTTTAAAATTTTTTTACGATTGTTACTAGCCTTGAACTCAACCAGACTCGCCCAAGAACCGATTCTGGTAGGAATCGGACCGGAAAACTGGTTGTTACTGATCTCAACCAGGGACAAATTCCAAGCTAATTGACTCGGAAGTGTACCAGACAAAGAATTGTTGCTCAGCATTAAACTCGATAAATTGCGCGATGTCCAGAGGCCTAATGGAACCTCACCGGAAAAATTGTTGTTGAATAGCTGAACACTACGCAAAGCTTGGCAATTTCCAAGCGATTCAGGCACGGTCCCGGTGAGAGAATTTGAAGAAGCCGCCACGCCGAATAAAGTCTTCCCGGCGCATAAATTTTGAGGCAAATCTCCGGTGAACTGGTTGTCGGAAATCTCGAAATACTGGAGTTTCGAATGAAGACCGAATTCCTGCGGCAAAGTACCATTGAGTTTGTTTGTGAACACCCGGAAGGTCTCTAGGGCTGGGATTTGGCCGATGCTGGGTGGTAATTCGCCGGAAAGTTGGTTCGAATACAGAATCATGACTTTCAATTGATTCAATTTTCCGAAATCAGATGGTATCGAACCTGTCAAATTGTTCATTGACAAGTCCAATTTAATCAATTTCAGTGACTCAATTAGAGTTGGAATTTCACCAGATAATTGATTTTTGTTTAAGATTATTATTTTCAAGTTCTTCAATTGAAATAGTCTTTGAGGAATTGAACCTGTTAAGTTGTTCTCTGATAAATCCACTCCGATCAAATTTAGTGACTCGACTGGAGTTGGAATTTCACCTGACAAATTGTTTTTATACAAATACACTACACTCAAGTTTTTCAATTGGAACAGTCCTTGAGGAAGTGGACCATCCAGATTGTTTCTAGCGAGATCCAAGTGTTGAAGACTGGACAAATTCCCAAAATTTTCCGGTATTTTCCCGATCAAGTTCGTCATCGTCATCCACAAGTACTCCTGCTTTTTCAAATTCCCAAACTCTATAGGAATTATCGATGGCAAAAGCATAGTATTGTAAGCCATACCCAGATTCACTAGATTCGCTAAATTTCCGATTTCGATCGGAACCGTGCCGTTGAACTGGTTTTGGTACAGGTACAATGTCCGGAGCTCCGGTAACCGGCTGATCGCGGGCGGGATCTCGCCGGAGAAGTTGTTTCCGCCGACGTTGATGAACTGGAGAGAGGATAACTGGTCGATGTCGGAGGGAATTGGGCCGACGAAGAAGTTCTGAGAGAGGTCTAGGTATTGGAGACCGAAGCAATTGTAGAGAACCTTAGGGAAGTCGCCCTGGAGGTAATTGTACGAGAGGTCGAGCATGGTGAGGTTTTTGAGGTCGCAGACCGACGGTGGGATTGTGTCCATGATGTTTTTGTCATGGAGGAGAAGTCCGGTGACTGTGCCGTCGGTGCACTGAATCTCCGGCCAGGTGCACGGCGAGGATGAGGAGTTCCAGGAGGCTGTCCACGGCGGACTCTGCCATAGCTTTTTGAGGTTGAGTAGGGTTGTCTGGTCGGCGGTGGTGGCCGGGGACTGTGAAATTACGTGGAAGGGCATGAGAGTGATGAAGAAGTAGAAGAAAGAGAGTGGGAGTTTTGAGAATGGTGAGGTCATTTTGGACATTTTGTGCGGTTTCAGTTAGTTAGTGACCCGATCGGTCTGTTATTTTTATTTCCCGCGAAAACAAGGTCTGACTCTCAGAGTTGGTGAGCTCTAATGGGCGTTTTGGATTGTTACTTATAAAGTGTTGCAGTAATCGCTTTCTTTATTTAGACCCCACATTTTAATAGTTTTTGGCTCTGTTTATTTGGGATTATAAGGAGGGAATTGAAATTACTAATTTCTTGATAGGGTTGCAAACGAACCGAGTCAAGCCGAGCTTTGCTGAGCTTGAACTCGGCTCGTTTACTTATCGAACTCGTTTATTGAGCTCGAGCTCGGGCTCGGCTCGACTCGTTAATTTTAATAAAGCTCGAGCTCAGTTCGACTCGATAAATTTTTTTTAATATTATTTATATTATTTAATATATAAAAATTTTATTTATATTATTATTTATATATATTCATATATTTTTAATATATAAAATTATTTATATATCATTTAATATATAAATAATATATTTATTATATAATTTAAATAAAGATAAACGAGTCGAGCTTAACGAGCCGAGCTTATGCGAGCTCAACCTTGGCTCGTTTACTAAACGAGCCTAATATTCGAGCTCGAGCTCGGCTCATTTACTAAACAAGCTGAGCCGAGCCGAGCCCTTAACGAGCCGAGCCGAGCCGAGTTTGTTCATGAACAGCTCGGTTCGTTTGCAGTCCTAGCTCTAAATGAGCATTAATTTGTTTTTTTTTTTTCTTCTTTTTTTGTCTTTTACTTATTTTAAATTTTTTTTTTTTTAAAAAGGGATGCCACCTCAGTAGAGTTAGTTTTAGAGCTGCTCTACTAGTGCTCTGTAACACTGCTGTAACTAATATTTTATGTCAAAAAAAAAACTTAACTAATATTTGTGTGCTCATGAAATAATATATAAAATAGGATCAAAACTTTTCAGTTATGTAATCTCCATGTAATCTCAGTGAAATAAATGGATGTTTTCAGTTATAAAAATAAAAAATGATTGTTTTTAGTTGTGACGTGGGATTAAGGGCTATTTTGGAAAGTTAGTTTTTAGTCATTTTTTTTGGTTTGTAGTAAAAGTTAAAAGTTGACTTTTTATATTTTTTTTCATTTGGGAAGTAGGTTTTTAGCTACTGGTAAAATTATAATTCTACCCTTTATGGGTCAAAATGAGCTACATGAGTGAAGTTGTTAATATTTTAAATTAATAGGGGTAATTTGGTTATTTTATTGTGATTTGAAATCATAAACAAATATTAATCAAAAAAGTCAAAAGTAACTTTTTACCAACTTCCCAAATCATTTGTCCAAAAAAGCCAAAAGCTTGATTAAAAGCAAAAAAATTACTTTTTACCATCTTCTCAAAACAGGCCTAAATTAAAAAATAACAATGATGCATCCCACTAATTTGGGAGCATTAATGGACCACTGGTGGAAATTCAAAAAAAAAAGAAAAAAAAAATTTTAAGACCAAAACATCACATCAGTCAGTGAGACCCACTATCTAGAGCTCCTTTACTGCTCCCAATTTAGAGCTCCAAACATTTTTTATTAAAAAACTTAAATTTATGCTCGAGTCAGCACTGGTGATGATGTGGAGCCGTCTCTCGTAGACATATGGAGCAGGTCCACGAACTATAGTGGTGTGTGATTGAAAAATTATTAGGTGGTTTAAGGACATTTTCTTGACAATACATCTTATCAATCATCAAATATCATGTTTATTAAGATGGTGTTTGAGAAGTGAGTTTTTATGTAGGTTTTTTTAGTTGTAAGATATTATTAGAGAAAAAAAAAATTGGATTTGGGAAGATAGTTGAGTTTTTTGTGGTTGGATATGATATTTGTGAGAAAAAAAAAGTGAATGATTATAGGGTTTGATGTGATATTTTGTTTGGATTTATTTTTTATTTTATTTTTTTGGAAAAACTTTGTCTTGTAGTGAAAATCACAAGGGACACCACTTGCTCATGCTTTAAAATTATCAGGGTTGGTTTGGGAAGTGGGTTGATTTTTTAATTTTTTTAACTATTTTAGTTTGGGCTAAAAAACTTAGTTTGGGAAAGATTTTTTGACTTTTTAACTTTTTTGACTTTTTTTGTGAAAGATGAGTGTAATGATTATGGGTTGAATGTGATGTTTTATTTTTTGTGACTAAAATAACTTATTTTGTCTTTTGTAACAAAAATAGCCAAAAAAACCCAATTTAGCTCTTCCCAAACGTGCTTTGCAAATATCAACCATTCAATTATAGTAATAATAACACTAACAGTATTAAAAATTCGAAATAAATTATTAAATATTTTATATAATACTTTATAAATATAAAATTATAAAAATACTAGGAATTTCTAATATTTTATTAAAAAATGTAGGGGTTTTTTTTTAAGGTCCTTGGTATTATGATTTTATAGCATAAAGGACACCAAACATTTTCATAATGTCTAAGGTCCCTCAACCTTGATCCAGAGAAATTTCAGTCCAGAGAAAATTGGTCCAGAGAAATTTGGCCCAGAGAAATTTTAGTCCAGAGAAATTTCAGTGCAGAGAAAATTGGTCAGAGAAATTCTGGCCCAGAGAAATTTCTCTGAACCAAATTTCTCTGGATGAGTTTCTCTACTTTTCTTCTCATTCACATCCAAATCATTGTGATTCATTAGGTAAGCAACATTGTTCAACTGAATTCAACTGGAAAAATTCCACATTGTAATATGTAAGCAACATTAGAATGGGATAACAATGGCAACTTACCAGAACCAGAGAAAATTTGGAAAAATCTAGGTTTGATCCTTCATCATTGTTGCTACTGTTGTTACCATCTCCACTGCCACTCGACTCTGGAGACCCAAATGCCCCAACTGTGGCACAAGTCTTTAAGTAGGAATGCTTCCCTATATTAAAACTATGAAGCTTTTTATCAGATTCCAAATCAAATTTCCAGAGAAAATTCTATCCATAAAATTTCTCTGGACATCACAGAGAAAATTTCAAATTTCTCTGAACAAATCACATAAAAAATTTCAAAATTCTATCCACTATAGAACCAATCGATTTTGTGGTGACTTGGATACATATTCACAGAGAAAATCCCATCACCAGAGAATTTCTCTGGATTTAAAACCAGAGAAATTTTCTGCATCACCAAAAAAAACATTTCAGAGAAATTTCAGTCCAGAGAAAATTGGTCCAGAAAAATTTGGCCCAGAGAAATTTCAGTCCAGAGAAATTTCAGTGCAGAGAAAATTGGTTAGAGAAATTCTGGCCCAGAGAAATTTCTCTGGACCAAATTTCTCTGGATGAGTTTCTCTACTTTTCTTCTCATTTACATCCAAATCATTATGATTCATTAGGTAAGCAACATTGTTCAACTAAATTCAACTTGAAAATTTTCACATTGTAATATGTAAGCAACATTAGAATGGGATAACAATGACAACTTACCAGCACCAGAGAAATTCTGGAAAAATCTGAGTATTTCTCTGGCTTGTCAGAGACTGGAAAATACCTCTGGTTAATGGCAATCAAATGATTCCAATTTCTTGTAATGTTAGCGATAAAAAACTTGAGATGTTTGTACACAAATGTAGTTACAGCTACAGTTCCAATAGATCTTTTAGTTTTGTATTTCAACTGACACAATCTCAATGTCTTTCCTCTAGATTATTGTTCAGATGATTCATACTTGCATTTTGGTCTTTTATGACTCTTTACTCTGTTTTTTGCATCTTCTACAGCTTTGGGTTACAAATATCTAAATTTTTTTAATTAAAAAGAAATTTTTTTGAAGAGCAACATTTTTCAAGTAATGCCAGACCAACATAGAATAAATGCTCTGACATTACATAATTCAACACATGCTAGTGTTGGAGTTTAGTAGGTGGATTCCATAATACAGAATTATTGATAATAGATTTCTAAAAAATGTAATGATCTTCTGGATTACACTCTTATTCTCAACATAATTAAGGATAATCTCTCAACAATTTTTGCTACGGATACAGTAAAAATTCACAGAACAAAGTGGTGTAGAACCCACACCCACCCTTGTATCTATGCTGCAATTTTGTTGGTGTCCCGTTTGCATACTTTCTCATTCATATATGTCTATGCCCCAGGTTTTGGCAGGTCGATTGGTCCAGTGCTTAACACATGCACAAGTGAAGGAGGTTGTAGAGAAATTTTCAAATTTCTCTGGAGTGAACCTCCTACCAATCAACCTCTTTGCATCAGCACAAAACTTATTACATTATTAAGGCTAGTACAAAACAGATGCAAAACAATTTCATGTTGCATTTTCACTACAATGATGCATCACACAAGTACAGTAGAGTTCAAAATCCAGAAAGAAAATCAAAATAATTTAAAACAAATGCAATTACATACAGAGCTAAAAATTGGACCTTTCACGATTACATATTATCAAGTACTCCTGGACAACATATATATTTAGTTCAATCCAGAGAAATTTTAGTTCAAACCCAGAGAATTTCTCTGGGGATATATCGAGAGTGCCGAAACAATTTTACAAACCGAACTTACAGCCAAAGAACCAATTTTCCCAAAACACAGAGAGAAAATAAACATAGATAGATAAACTTGTGGTTTGGAGATATATTTATATATATATATATATATATATTTTCATCTCTCCTGTTTTCATCACTTTTTTCTACCTTTGCACAGTGAAGCTTCTTACCTCTTGTCCTCCAAGAACACTCCATCACTGAAGCTTTGCGCCTCTGCTAAGATCTAGATCCATAACTTCGTTGAAGGATCTAAGTTAACTTCGTTGAAGGATCTAGATCCATAGCTTTGCGCCTTTGCACAGGATCTAAGCTTTGCGCCTCTGCCACATACATATATATATATATATAGCTCCGCCTCCTCTTGTGTTCCTTTTCAGAATCAACCACAAAAACTGCTACAAAACCCCCCTCTCTCTCTCTCTGTGTATATTTTGATTTTGTTTTGTAATGGCAACGATTAATCTTTCCACGAGAATGTCTGACGCCATTTTTGGGTGAGAATGAGAGAGGGGTTTCTGGTATGTGAGGAAGAGAGACAAATTTATCTGATATATGTTTAAGGACCTTAGACATCAAAAAATAATTTTGTGGATCTC